AGTTTCATCACAATAAAATGCTGTCTTCAGGAGCATGTTCCCTCTATTAGCAAATATCTCCTTTCCATTCAGGTGCATATAATCTGTTAACAAGTCTTTCCATATCATTCTTCTTGGTAAACTGAGCAATAGGAGATCCTTTCTGTCAACCATTCTTCATTCTCCTGTCTCCTGTGTGAAACACCTGATTTATCAGCATAGTTTTTATCCTCTGGCCCAGACACAGTGGCTGTTTCTGGCCTCCTCTGCTAGAATTGGCCTCTTAAAGAAACACTGTCGAAGGTATTGGCAAAAGCAGAGTATAATATGAATTTGTGAGAATGTGACTTTACAGAGTTAGATAGCAAGGTTCACTCTATTACTCACTACACAGGTTAAAGTATACAAGGAAAGATCAAATTAGAAGTAATTAGGAATGATTTACATGGAAGCTGGGAATACAAAAGAGTGCAAAGAATATGGACGCAAAGATAAGGGTACAGAAGGGTACAGAAGGGTTTATTTAGCAGCACTTAATCATTGAGTACTTTAACATTTACAAAGGGATTCAATAGGGTTCACTACAATTGTAACAATGACTTGAGATAGTAACATTTATACCGTAATCAGTTCACAGGCACACAGGTAAAACAATGTGTAAACTTATTTCTGTGTGTGTAAAGGTACCTAACAGAAACTCCCCCAGGTTCAGTGAAATACTCAAATTAAATCCCTTCGTGTTTCCCAACAGGCAAGGGTTTCACCCTGAGGACCATGGAGATGGGAGGGTGGAGGGTATCAGCCTGGACGTCGTGTCAGCAACAGTTCTTTGAGTATCACAAGCCTGAGGGTTTCTGTGAGCTCCAGGAGGCATCCCCACTCCGAGGGAGGTTCTGGCACAGCCTGCTGCAGTCCAGGAGAGCTCCAAGTGCTCCTCACAGATCAGAGGTATGGCAGCTGGGCACTGCCACTCCATTTTGCTGTGATCATTATCAAAGTCTCAGTTGCCACATGCTGGCAGGTCTGCCCGTGAGTGACTGCTCATCAAGAGAACATCCTGCCATTCAGCACTCTCAGCTCTGCAGCAGTCTTAAACAATTCCTGTTTGCTGTATGTCAGAAGGGTCCCCAGATTAGTCTGACTATTGTAACAATGCCATCTTACCTCAGAGTCAGTGTCTGTGCATCTCAACAACCTATGCTTCTCAATCACAGCAGGCTGGCCCACTTTTCATACAGCATTCTCCCACCCCCATCCAATCCAATATCTATTTTACAAGAAAATCCAGCCCCCACTGTCAGTACCATGTTGCAAACCCAGTGGTTAGAGGTACCTGTTTCGTTTGTGAGCTTACTGTAAAAACCCTGACACCAATACGTGGTGCAGATTGATCCTCAACTTCTAGTGACCTCTGAGTACACCTGTGGAGTCTCCAAGTGTAGCTGTTGCTTCCTACTTAATCAGCTGGACTCCAGCAGGGAGAGCACTGGTAGAACCACAGTGGCCTGTTTATCTTCTCTCTATAATCCAGATGAGGATGACAGCAAACCTGTCCAGCCTCCAAATACTGAAAGTCTGAGTGCTTTGGAGGCCCTCCACCCTACTGGCAGAGTTTCTGGGTATGTGGTCCTAGTAGATGTAGCTCTGCTCAATAAAGGGTTTTGCAGTCTGTCCTCTATGTGCTGGGCTTTCCTGTGGGCTTTTCCTGTGGGCTTTCCTCTACCTTGCTGTCATGGCCCTGTAATTTGGCTCTGCCTCACCTCTAGAGTATTTTTTTCTCCTCCTCCCTTCAGAAAATTTGCCCAAGCTTCTCCAGACTCAATCCTCCCGTGCTATGATGTTGGGAAGCAGGTTAGTTGCTCTGCTCATGCCAGAATTTCATGCTTCCTCCGTCAAAATTCCTTCTAGTTTGAAAAATGTGTGTCACCTTCTGGATTCTTAATACATACGTAAAACCGGAGAAGAAGATTTTGCTTCTCATTGCCATCTGCAGCTTAGGGACCATGCTTGACAACACATCACCCACAAGATTTGGCTATACCATCAGTGTAATTCTTTCCCGTACCATCAGTGTAATTCTTTCAGACATGCCTTCTTGGTAGTCATAACCATGGATAGGAGAAGGAAAAGCCGTGGCTCTGCTCCATGTTTATCATACCACAAGATAGGTAGTATCTTACATATCTACCAGATCATAAAATCATTCCAGAGGGTGCTCTCTTCCTGCTTCTCAGTCACATATTGATTAACTTTGCTTCTTATTTGAAAGCAAAGTTGTATACATTGATATTTTTATTTCTGTTGTGTGGTTAGACCTGGCTTTGTGGGATTTGGGTTTTTTTTTTTAATGAGAACTGTATTTCCTCAAAATCACCTTACTTCCCCCGAGAGAGAGTGGACAGTCTCCAGAGACATTCCCTGTCTGGTAGGTCCTTAACTTCACGGGGAACAGGCACTAGTGGCAGGCTCACCTGCTTCCAAAGAGCTCGAGGCAGCTCCTGCGCTTCTCGAATGCCATTTTCCACGTGCCTCAAAATCAAAGAGCAAAGGATCTCCCCCTTTTCTCAGATCCAATAACACAGGTTCGGCACAGAGACTACATCAGTCTTCATACTTACCGATGTGTATGTTCACAGATTAAATTATGTGGGCAAATAAAGTTTTTTTGACTTCTCAAATATTTACTTAAGTAGAGCTAGTGTATAGGTTTTAGTGAAAAGGAACTGCTCCGAACTCAGCAATATGTGCTCCCATTCTTCAGTGAGGGCATCTCACTTCATACGAGTTCATAAGAAAGCCCATGATATCTCTGTAAATTTCATTAAGATACACTTTAAAAACTTTCCCTGCATAACACCTGCAGCCTCAGGTGTTTGTCTCACTCAGCAGTTAAATTCTTAAACAAGAAACAGCGATTCCACAAATCAGTGGAACTTCTACAGATGGTTGGATGAAATCACCAGCAGTGCAATGTCACATGCTGGATCAAAGTACCTTCTAGGTGAAACTAGAGACTACATTTCTAGTTGCTACTAATTGCTTGAAAAGTGGAACAGATTAATCTGCTCCTAGGCCCATCTCCTGCTGTGTTGTTCTTTTCTTCATACTGTGTTGCTCTCACCTTGTGTTGCAGGTCACCCCCCAGCATGGAGTTGTCAAAGACTATTTATAGAGCCCTTGTAGACACCAGCTAAGGAGTTCTGGTTCAGGAATTTCCACTCTGAAGATCTGCTTCCTTTATGTGAAACATCCCAAATGGTTATAAATGAAATTGATATTGCTTTACCTTTTTGGTCTTATTGGAAACAAGGTGTGATGAAAGTGGCAGCATTAAATGTCTTTTGCTATCGCACAATTAAATTTACAAACAGTATGTATATTGCTTTACAATGCATACAACTATGCTCAGTTTTATACACTGGTGCTGCACAATAATGTACTGCTAAGTCTAAGAAATTCTAACAGTTGTAGAAAAGATCTTTCTTGCAACCCCTTTTCTGGATGACAATATAAACATTTGCAAAGAAAAACACATTTTGTAAGAGTCCATACTATTCATTTGCCATTAAGCAACACAATAATTATTATAATAAAGTGTGTCTTACACCAAGTGATATTGTGGTTCTTAAATGTCTGTCTTGCTTTAGTAGTTAGAGCCAAATTTTGCTCCCACGAAAATCGAGGGGGAATTCTGCAGACTTCAATGAGAAAGAGATGAGAGCCTTCATCAGCTGCAAAAGCTATTTCTTTGTGTATGGTAACTCTTCAAGTACCATCCCTTTCAGTTATACATGTAGGCAAATTTGTAGCTTTCTTAGTCTTAGTCAAGCAGAAAACATTACCACAGAGGACTTAAAGATGCCTAATTAATTATCTTTGCTGTATTTTTACTCCTGAAGCAAATTTGAACCCCTCCATGGCTGAAAATGCAGTTTTGAGGCCTTTTATTGTGGGTTAGGAGCAACATCTAACTCTTGGTTCTTATCAGCTGCACTTAGCAGATTACTTTTCTAGCACCAAGTTATTCATTGAAAGAGTCAAACTTTTATACTGCACCTGATGTGAAACAGAGGAGACTTTTTGTCTGGAGAGATGGCCCAAATTCAACTATCTCAATAGCAGCTCCTGTCTGCTGCTCTCCCTGAGGAATGATGATGGAACACACATCAGTGTTGAGTTACACAACAGGAGCCCGATAAACCTTTCTACATTCTGTGATTTTCATACATTAATGAGAGGGTGATGATAAGGTGTTACATCATACATGTGCAAGACTGGGCACTGTTTGTTACGACAGAAGGACTAACTAGATTCATTAGAAACAATCTAACCTCTCCCTACAAGAAGAGTGAGTTCTTAATTAGTATGATGTGCCCAAGTTTCAGTCACCACCTTGTAGATTTACAGACCCTGATGCTTGTGCTGGTACAGTAGTAATTAAGATCCAGGCTTGCAAGCCAGGTAGTGTAACAAAGCCATACCACCTGCATGATGACCAAAAAAGGAAATTTATAGTACAAAATCACCAGAATTAGAGATCCATTTCTTTCATCATCTGCAAGTGGAGCTAATATGTCTGTGTACTTCTCTTTGAGTTTAACAAGTGACAAAAAATGGCCTGGAATGTATTTCAGCTGAAATAAGATGTGTTGGCAAGGTAGGCAACTTTTCTGTTTCTTACTCTTCATGGGATTCAACAAAGGGTTGGTAGCATCACATCCAGTTGTACTACTGTCCTTGGAGCTGGCTTTTCAAAAGCCAGTATTTACCAATGGGTGCTACTTTGAAGACTTATTAGACCTATGATGGTGAACTTTGCTCTTTTTTCCACACTGTGATTAGCTTTGCCAAACATCTGACTCTGATCTGACCTGTGAATCAGCCTGTTTGTACCATTTTTCAGAGGGGTGACCAACCCTCTTATGACTGATTCCAAATCAGCTTTAGTCTTCAGGTAGAGCACTAGTGCTTAGCATACTGCAATCTTACCAGGTACCCTAAAGGCTTTTTCTCTGGAAGATGTGCTGTCATGGGGCCACAAACTCACATCAGAAAAACATCCCTCTGCTCCTTCTGCAGGTGCATCGGTGGCATTCCCTGAGTGCGAGCAAAAAGAAATTGCACACGAGCAAAAATCTCACAAGGATGAGGGACTAGACTCTCTGAGCCAAGAAGCTTTCACATGAAAGAGGAAGCAGGGAGCAGTGGAGGGGAGGAGCACCAAATCCAGACGTTACCTCAGGCATTAACGCCCTGAGGGCAGCTAGAGGTACGTTAGTATGTTTATAGAGACAGATTAAAATCGGATTTCACACATTGTTATCTAGCACACCAAGGGTTATGAAAATCCTCCTTGACTGGTGAAAGCACAATAGAATAGTGGTTGGTTGCCCAGCAAACCTGAGGAAGCTTGGCTCTGGTCCATGCCAATAGACAATACAGAAACCACACAATGAACAATTGCTTTTGTACTGAACTCAGATCTTTCCCTCGCTGGGGAAATCTTCTCAAGTGAAGGAGGACAAGATCTGAAAGGTAAGCTTGTAGTTACACAGATCCACCCTATCTTTTACGTACACCTCAGTAAACTATTACTCAGACTGTGAAACCAGGCATTCACCTCCTGTGCCTTTTCACAGCAAGTGTTATTTGTACTCAATCACTTCTTTAAGCCTTTGAGCATTCTTCTTTTTTTATTCCCAGTGTCCTTCCAGGCAAGAGCAAGGATTGCATGTGCCTTGACCAGCTGCCAGCCCAGCCTCCTTGCTCTCTGAGATGCCTAGACCAGAGGCAGTCAGTGACCAGAATGTGGTTGGTGCTGAGCCCGAGCTAATGTTGCTGTGCCAAAGATAATAACACTTCTCTCCCAGCTGAGCTAATGGAAGCTTCATGGTGGCTCACAGAGTGGCCCAGGAAGACTCTCATCAGCCTGGAAAATACCATGTAGAAAAACCCAGTGTGGCTTTCAAAGAAGGAAAGAAATATATGTGCTTATAGGCAGAAGAACAGGGTCTTCACACGACACCTGTGAAGAATTTAGCAGGTATGATGTACACCAAGTAACTCTGTCTGTCTGAGCTCTGTCTTGCTCCAGCATTTCCTATTATCGACTACATTTAAAACATTCCAGCAGGCGGATCTGGGCACTCTCATTGATTCAGAAACTATTTCACTGTCTGGATCTCAGTTATGCAGGCTATCTGTGCTTGTAATTCTTGATCTGAAAATAATGTGGGACTTTGTTAAGATGTGATACCAGAAGGACATTCTCACATGATATCAGAAGGACATTCTCACACTAAAAACATTAGGACAGAAAGAGGTTTTAGCATCTGTCCTTCCTCCCATAGTTACAAGAGACATACACACTTATTTTTCAATTCCAGAAAATTATTAGCCATAATTAGTCATTTCAATGCTGTCTCCCAAAGGAGCACTTTTGGATGTTTTCCATTAAATAAAATGGTAATATTTCTCATTTATGTTTTTATGTCATTCCAGCTCAAGGAAACTCGTAACCATGAGTCTCACTGGGGCCAAAAGCAGGCATGACAATGTCTCGAACTTTAGGAACAATATTCATGTCCCATAGGCAAGAAAAAAGGAGCATGTTACTATCAAATTCCTGAGAGTTAACAAAATCATGAAAGCATGGAGATGTGTTTGCAGACAGTCAAATCACAAAGCTGAACTCACCTGAATCTTAGGGAACATTGGTGAAGCCAAGGGAAGCATTTACATATGGTCAGATGAACTGGAACACTGTATTCTAGCTATAAACTATCTGACTACACTTTAGCCAAAGTTTTATTATTAAGACAGTATCTTAACTGAATTTCCTTCCTGTTCTTGTGCTCTGAATAAGCCCATATATTAAACCCACTCTATACTGACTTCAAGTACATGGGACCCTTCTGTAAAGAAAATACAACAGGTCTGTGCATAGAAATTTGCAGCTCTGGCATATTAAAAGAAGGTCATAGAAGTGACTCCCCATAAGCCCCTGTCACTACCTGAGACCAATGCACTGTAAAGCATTTTATAGAAAAATTGTCAGGGGATTACACATCAAAATGTTAGTAAAATCATACAAAAGAAATCCTGGAAGAGGCCTCACAGGGTTATGTAGTCTGTCCTACTGCCCAAGATAGGACCAAGGCACTTAACCTTGACTGAGGCATCTCCAGTCTCTTCTCATGGTCTGTAAACTCCACAAGCAACTCTTCTTAATACTGGAAAGATTTTTCCTAATATCCAGTTTAGACACTCCCCTCTCCAGTTTGACCTATTACTTTTAGTCCTATCCAGCACAGACACAAGAAAAGAAGTTATTCCCTTTGCCTTTATAGCAACCTTTGTACATATTTAGATGAGCTGCCTAATTCTTTTTCCTGGGGACTATTTATCCAAAATTAATTCAACATTACATTACCTTTTTTCTAAACCTCCAATCATTTTTGCTGCTGTCCTGTTGACTTTCTCAGCCTCTGTAAAACCAGAGTAGGAAATGTAACACACTGGTTCACACAACCTAGGAGGACTTTTGACCTTTTTGAGATTAAATTATTATTGACTTATTTTCAATTTGTAACCTATTATCCATAGTGCCTCTGTGATCCTTTCATATGCCAACTTTTTTTTTTCATTCTTCAGAAACCATTCTGAAAATTTTCTCCTTTATTTTGAAAGTGTTGCAATAGATATACTAATTTAATTTCAGCCACATAATTTGCTTCCAACACACTAACCCATCTTTTTAATATAGGAGATGGAAACCACAAAAAAATCTGATATTTTTGCAGGAGGCTCAGCTTGGGCAAGGTTCTGTCACAGGCCACAGCTTTTGTACCAACATGTACAAATATATAAATATATATAAACAGTTAATTATCTTGAAGTTTGATAAATTGAAGCCCTCCAGGGTTAGATAAGCAGACTTTATATCTTTTGGAAGAGGGAATTTCCCAGCATCCCAGTATAACACACAACTGTTGCTTCTAGCTATGTTAGGGCCCAAAATAAAACTAATTAAAGACCAATGTAAGTAAAATTCTTCTAAAAAATAGCCAAAAATAGCCTAGCCTGAAAGAAGTGTGTTATTTTATTCTGCTCTTGAGTTTTGCGTGTATCTACAACAGATAGGCTATTATATGCTTGAAATAGAAGGAAAAAACATATTTAAAAGCTTTTTAAAAATTGATTTTTGTAATTTGCGCACATATTTACAATTATTTTAATTAATCAGCTGAGATTATCTACACATTATTGTTTATTCTCCCTGATCCAACCTTTGATTCACCCTTGTACTTGATCATATACTCATGTCTGCAATTGATGTACAGGAAATTGATGTGCTATTTGTAAAATTTTCTGAAGTACTTCAACATGAAGTTTTGAGTATTTGGAAAACATAATCCAGTAAGTTTCAACATGTGCTAATTGAAGTAACATTTCTCTGTGGACTGATTCTTCTGGAAGTACTACAGCTAATTGTCTCATTTTAACCTGTCTCATGCCAGACTAAGTATAAAATATTTCCCATTTCTCTGATATACCATTTTCACAACATCCTTTATTATGATCTGTGTCACTTCTGCACAAGCACTTCTTATTCATCCAGGTATGAAAATAATTAGCAATCACACTGCAATTTAGTACCAAGCTGATCTTTTCCTCTGTGACATTTTAGGTCTTTACTTTCCACCTCTTTACTTTCCTCTTACGGTAATTTTACCATTTTGTATAGCAGAACTAAGAATTTCCAGGTGCATTGTGTGTTAATATTGGTTATTAAATTATACTAAAAAATAGGGTTCTGTAAGTAACAAAAGGTTTCTTTAGAACAGTGCATCTCCAGTTTTTGGAAGCATAGACTATATCAAAATATCTGTTTAGTAATTTCACTTTGCAACTAGTTAGTGTCCACAGATTTCAATATGCAAACAAGCATATTTTACAATCCTGAAAGAAATATTCATGGACTTTAACTCATCTCAGGCAACTTCTTAATCTCTTCTTTTTATTTCTTTCTACACATGAGTTTTAAAAGATGTGAGGGGGAAGCAGAAGAGATCAGAGTGAAATCAAACCTTCAGCTTGAGTAGAATGTACTGAATTGCTTGTAACTTTTAGGTACAAAACAAAGATAAAGAATAAAACAAAGAGCAGGATCATAGCAAATATTCTCTAAGCTCTGAGGTCTCCAGTTCCTGAGTTTGAGAAGCAGAACTGAAATTATTGAAGTCTTTCTGTTCACTCTTTCAGAGATGGGAAAAGGTGTTAACTTGGCTCTTTTGTTTTGAGAGTATTTCCAGAGAAAGATGAAAACAGAAAAAAAGCCAACCAACTATAAGGACAATTTATCTGAACCCTGGTGAACACCAGAGCTGCAAATCGGTTCTTCTGTCTTTAGCAGTGTTTTAATACAGTGCTGATAAATGAGTTCCCTAACGATTTGCTCATTCCAGTACAAAGAACATTTAGGGTCAATAACAGGCAGAGTTAATTGCAGTAGGTCAAGTTTAGCAAACAGTTGCTCAAAGGCATCTCCAGAAACCTCTCAGTTGGAAAGGAAGTGCACAACAGAAATGTGCTATCTTACTTCTGTCTATCCTGACACACATTGTGTTTGAGGTGGAGCTTCATTCACTCCTAGAAAAGAGTCTTGACCTCAGAAGGTGATTTGGAAGATGAAAGAAATGGGAATCAATGAAGTTTAGTTGGACAGAGACCTGTCTCACACACATTATGTCTACAGGTTTAAACCCTTACTGAGAGATATTTGCATAGCAGGCAAGTATCAATCAATCTTCCTTCTCACCTTTCCTCTTTGATTCATTTTGTTCTCCCAGGTTTCAATAAGATAGAGCTTGAAACTGCTCCAATATGTTTTGGGAACTGCTTTGCTCACCAGTCACGACTTTCAAACTGAGACTGCAAGATCCAGAAGATCCCTGCTTTGCCTACTTCAGATCAACATCGTAAGCCTGAATCATCTGTCTGGTAGGAGCCATGTGATCCAAAGTGTCTCATTCTTCCAATCCCTTTTTGTTCTCCTTTCAATTTCTGAGAATTTGTTCCTGACTCGTATTTCCTCACAACTATGGACATCTTTTCATGGAAAGATGAACTTGAGCAGATCAGCATTTCCCATAAACAATAAAATAAGTAGTGTCAGATAATTCTGCGCTAGCTTTGTACGTGTTTCTCCTGATATCTCTTTTTGGATAAAAGATGTTATCCCTGTGACTCCTTGGAGAGAAGCTTTGTGTTTAGTTCATATAATTAGTTGGAGCATGGAAGCAGAATTTGGCCCATGCAGCTGAGTGGAAAGGAAGTCTGCAGCAAAATAATTGCTTCTCTTAAATAATGTGACTACAGCTTGGAATAAACAGTGCCTTCATTAACTGACAAGTCACACTTGTTCTTTCTCCTCAAACTTAAACAATGCCACAACGAAATATCCCTTATTGTCTTCTGCCTGCAAATTCCATGCAGAAAAGAGAAGTAGCAACAAATGGTGAACATACAGGTGAAGAAAAGCAGGGATTTTTTCTTTTTTTGATTGACAGCCTGGCAAGAGGCAGCGGCAGTGGCAGTGGCAGAGGAGGAAGAAGAGAAGGAAGTCTGGAAAGGGCAGCAAATCCTTGGGATTATGTTCATCCAGTTCCGAGCAGGACTTACCTAATAGTACAGGAAATGTATTATCTAAAAATCCCATTCATTACACATACCAAAATGAAGTTGCGTCAGTTCTGAAATTTGCCATACCACTATCCTGTACTCATTCAGAATAGCAATGACCTCAGCCATTTTTTAAGAAATAGCCATCGTGATGTTTTAAGAGTTGGCAAGAGATTTTTTGAAACCTTTCACTGTGGCAAATTTAAAGGAAAACTGGTTTACTTCAGAACACGCTAACCCTTCAATGTGTATTACAGCCACCTGAGCACTGGACAAAGTGGAAAATAAAAACAATTTTCAAGCCTTAATTTTTTAAGATAAATTGTACTAATGCTTGGCCACAGTTTTAATTATGTTTTCCTAGTTATCTATCCCTAGGAAATACCCCTACACTTGGTTACTCAGTCCTGGATTTCAGTTATTTATCCTGCTAAGTCCTATACTACAGGGGGAGAAAATAAAAAGAGGTTCTCTAAGTTTTGATTCCTACAGTTGGTTTCTCCCTTGATACTGCACAGAGGTGTTCTTAATGAACCACTGTGTGAAGCATAGATTAATGTTGTTTTATTCATTCAAGGAAATGGGCAACTCCATCTGCTCTGACTGAGATGAAGTGAAATGGTGAGAGCAAATCCATATTGCAAGACTATATTTTATATGGAGGGACTTGGAAGACGTAAAATACAAAAAGGATAACAAACCTGCAAAACCCCATGACAGTTATGAACTCTGCCTATTATAAACATCCATTAAGCCTTTTTTTTTTCCTTCTAGTCTCTGAACTCACCATGTACCACCTTGGTGAAGTGCAAGCACTTCATCAACATATTCTGACAGGGGAAAAATGAAAAAATAGGGGGCATGAAACAAAAATAAGTTTTCTACTTTGTACCCCTACCTTGTTTTAAGGAATTAAAAGACTAAGTAACATGTTTAATGTGTAAGGAAATAACTTATTTGACTGACCCCCCTTGAAATATGATAGATGTCAATTAGATGTATTCTAGCCTACAGGATGATACATTTTATTCATTCACTACCAAACAAACTCAAGAGTTGAGAAGATGTGAAAGAACACGTTTCACAAAGCTAGCACAATCCTATGTGAGACTACTCTTTCCTAACAACCTTACAATGTTACCAAACTGCCTAAGGTAAAGAATGAATATAAAGGGAGAATACACATTATGTTTCACTAAAGAGAGTAGATGTTAATTTAATTAAATAAAAAGGCTTCATAGTGCTTTCAAAGTAACCACAAATGTAAACACATTTAATCCCTGGGAAAATGTCTATTATAGTAGATGGTACAGCTCATCTGGTGAAACTGCGATGGAAACATGACCAGAGCCTTCACATGGCAGCAATACTGACCCAAATCCCTCTTTGCAAAGTAAGATTTCTTTTGACACCAGCTTCTGGTGTTTAAAATGACCCCACTCATGTCTCTGCCACGACCACAGCTCACTGCCATTGTAATGCTTGGTAAAAACAGTCTCTCCTCAGTTACATGAGGCAAGTCCTACACGTTAAAAGTTGGTTCTAATTAGCTCTTATGTGTCTGAAAGCCAAATATGACTATATATCTGTAACAGAGTAATGATAGTTTTGTATGCCACGGAGCCAAACTGGTTCTAGAAATCTGGTAAATGTCCTTCAAGTTATATTCCAGTTGAGCAAAAATGATCCAACAATACCTGGATGAAACAATGCACCAACATAATACATTTAAACTCCATTAAGTATTAAAATCCTTTGTTATGGTTACAATACCTTTACTTAACGAGCCCCCTTTGTACGGATTTAAGTAGGACTTATTAAGGAAGACCACAAGGGGAAACATAAATGTGACTGGGACAATCAGCCACAGCTTTTACTCAGGTGTTCCCTTTCCCTTCTTTCTCTAAAACATTTTTAGTGTGATCAGCAAGGACCAGATTTCATTATCTTTACTACTGCCATCTCTAATTTGGTTGGTCCTACAGATTTTTTCAGCTGCAGAAAATAAATATTTCACAAGGTGCTCTGTACCCCTGCAGGGTCAGAAATGTAGCACTCTGCCTGCTTACACCCTTCCAGAAAGCTTTAAAAGTGCATGTGGACTTGCCTACACACACACATAATTGTGCTTATTCCCATAGCAGAATATAAGAAAAAGAGTTATTTTTCTGCCACTTCTTTAAGTTAAATCAGTAAAGTCACATGTGTCTATGGAATGTTAGGAAGAAAAACATGTCGATGGCTAATAAAGCTCTTTAAGAACAGAAAAATATCCATTAAGAACTAACTACAGTGATTAGTAACAACCATATTGAAATTACTAGGATTTTCTGACAAGCAAACAAGGAAAGGCAGTTGTAGATCATCTTCAGCACTTTCAAAGTGAATGATGGACAGCAAATTGTCATTACTATTTTCTGCACTGCATCACTTACAGTGGGCTTCTTCTGCATGAGGACGTTAAAGGGTAGTGGACCTCAGCACCCTCAGCAAATCTACTCCTGGTCATCCAACAGCGCATGGGACTATCAAATATACATGCTTTCTAATGCCTTTCTAATAGAATAGAATCATTAGGGTTGGAAAAGACCCTTAAGGTCATTGCAATCCAGCCATTAACCTCACATTGCCAAGGCTGCAACTAAACCATCGCTGTAAGTGCCACACCTACACATGGTTTCTAAAAGTCCTCCAGGGTCCATGACCCAATCACTCCCCCGGGAAGCCTATTCCAATGCTTGATAACCCTTTTGGTGAAGAAATTTTTCTTAATATCCAATCTAAACCTCCCCTGGTGCAACTTGAGGTTGTTTCCTCTTGTCCTGTCTCTTGTTACCTGGGAGGAGAGACCGACCCCCACCCAGCTACAACCTCCTGTCAGGGAGTTGTAGAGAGTGAGAAGGTCCCCCCTGACCCTCATTTTCTTCAGGCTAAACATCCCCAGCTCCCTCAGTTGCTCTTCATAGGACTTGTGCTCCAGATCCTCTCCCAGCTCCGTTCCCTTCTCTGGACACCTCCAGCCCCTCAATGTCCTTCTTGAAGTGAGGGGCCCAAAACACAGGATTTGGGGTGTGGCCTCACCAGTGCCCAGCACAGGGGGACAATCCCTGCCCTGGTCCTGCTGCCACACTATTGCTGATCCAAGCCAGGTGCCATTGGCCTCTTGCCCCCCTGGGCACACCTGGGCTCACGTCCAGCTGCTGTCACCAGCACCCCCAGGGCTTTCCCAGACGGGCACTTTCCAGCCCCTCTGCCCCAGCCTGGAGCTGCAGGGGGTTGTTGTGACCCAAGGGCAGGACCCAGAACTTGGCCTAGATGAACCTCATCCCGCTAGCCTTGGCCCAACAATCCAGCCTCTCCAGATCCCTCTGCAGAGCCTTCCTGCCCTCCAGCAGATCAACAACTCCTGCCCAGCTTGGTAAACTGACTGAGTGCCGTCGATCCCCTCATCCAAATCATGGATAAAGAATTAAACAGGACTGGCCCCAATACTGAACCCTGGGGAACACCACTACTGACCAGCTGCCAAGTGGATTCAACTCCATTTCCCACTCTCTTGGCCTGACCATCCAGATAGTTTTTCACCCAGCAAACTATACACCCATGCAAGCCATGAGCACCAGTTACTCCAGGAGAATGTCATGGGAAACAGAGTCAAAGGCTTTACTAAAGTCCAGGTAGGCAATATCCACAGCTTTTCCCTCATCCACTCAGTGGGTCATCTTGTCACAGAACGAGGTCAGGTCAGTCAAGCAGGACTTACCTTTTATAAACCCTGGGCTGGTTGAGTGTGATGCCCAGTTGTCCTATATGAGTTATGGGATGGCACTCAAGATGATCTGCTCCATAATATGGTGTTTTGGACTCTCTTATAAGCTGGGCAGCACAAATTTAGGCACTTTTTCAGCACCAGAGATAAAAAGCAATGAATACTGAGAAATGACCCTTTTCCAACAAGTTAAATTTTCTATTTGATCATGCTCTGAACTAAGTGTAGCACAACTATTCCACCCTTCCCTGGAGGCAAGGAATTTAATGCTTCCTTTTGTCAAGTTTGATAAATGTCCATGTAAATCAGATTGGATGCCATCACATTGAGGGAAGTATTAATTGTCCTTTTCCTTTGAATTGGGACATTTTGCGCTCTGCAGTAAATGCAGTAAAGCATTATTAGTGGAAGGGGGGACTGGGCACGGTTTCCTGAGGACTTGAGAGTCCTGAACTGATCTGAAGTCATGCTGAACTTCAAAAAAAAAAAAAAATTGAGAAGGAAAAGGAAAAAAGGGAATGAAAAAAGGAAAATAATAAATGATAAAAAGAGGAGAAAGTAAGAGCAAGGGACAATAGTGAGGAAAGGGATAAAGGGTAAGACAAAGTGAGGAAAGAAGATAAAAGGAAAGCAGGGAAATAGAGGGGGGAAGCAAGAAAGAGAGAAAAGGAATGTTAAAAGATGTTACAATTGGCATTTCAAGAGCATTCTTCACAAATTAACCATATAAGGACATGAGGGACATCCCCATATAAGGGGAGGAAAGCAGTGAAGTGAGACTTGTACAACTGAATCTAGATTTACCTTCTCCCACTCCTACTAATTTTCTTTTGTTCAAAGTATGGGGAAAAATGATCATACCAAAAATAAGCGAAACTTGCAACTGGCATGTACTGGTATGATGAAATGGCCACGGCAACATTCACTGGAATCCTATAATTTCACATTGTGTTGAGGAGGTGTAAAATAATAGCGCAGACCTGGCATAATTATGACAATTGTTACTTCAGTCAAGTATTAATTCTGAGGTTTTTCACAAGGCTTTATTTTTTGAGCAGTGAGTAATGCCCCAGACCATACAACTCCTCTGTCTCCATCACCTCGTTAGACCAAAATTGCTGTTAGGACACAGTTTATATTTAACAATAATAATGTATATAGTCACAGGATTCCATGAATGAACATGGGCAGACAAAGTTTTCCCTACAATCATGCTTGCCTGGGCAAAGAACCTTAATGTAATAGAGCTACGTGAAATTCCTGTGCTACGTGTTGCTTGAAAGCCTTTTTTTTTCAGCATAGAAAAGATGGCATGTGTAGATAGATATTTTTCAAACATACCCTCATTAAGACACCAAGAGTTAGCTGGAAATGGTTTCCCTCCCTTTATTCATCATCTGTTATCGTGGTATTTCGCCCAAACCCCAGAAGACTGAGGAGTAGTGTTGGAAAATTCCCCTCCCCTTAAAGGTGTAGATTTCACTCTCTGCCAAATAAAATTAAAAACTAGTAATAATTTTTTTAAAAAGCAGCTTCATTCCTCACCCTGTACATCTGGATTGAGGATATTGGCAAATACTTCATAGGGATGCCAGTAGCCTGCTATTATATTCACAACAGCTGGAATTGCAGACCCTAATTTGGAGTAATAATGTAATACCATAAAGGCTTGTTTGGGTTTGGTTACTGCGCTTCACCTTTCACAACATCTGTCCCCACCCACACAGGAACAGTTTCATCTTACAAAAATGGGGGTAAGCCCTATTATCTGTATCATGGTGTCAGTAGACATGTGCATGACTTACATTTCCAGGTTATGTTCCGGCAATAGTCCTTCCAGATGAAGTCCTGTCCCCTTCAAGGCCTAGCTGTAACTGCAGCAGCTCGCTTGTTAGGTCTCTTAGTTTCCCTTCTAAGACCAGCTCTGTTCCTTGGCATCACTTCTCCTCTGTGGCCCTGAGCTCCTTTCAATGGTTTGCTTTGCTACCCCAGTGGCCTCCATCCCTCCAGCACTAACTGACCCACAGTGACAGCAGACACGATCCTCCAGCATGGGGACCATGTCTAACATGGCAGAGCAAACCCTTCTGATCTCAACATCACTTTCTTAACAAGCGGCCCTTTAGCACTTGAAAAAAGGCCCAAACATTAAAAACAAACAAACAAATATCTTCCTTGAAATGTTAATAGCTCACTTGGTGGTGGTGACAGATGTCAGGTTGACACCACAGGAGCAGACAGCTCTCAGTGATGCATGCACAGGTTCTGGTTAGGCACTGATAGTCCTGTTTGCCTGCTGTGCCACCCGCAGACCTCCCCTCATGAATACAACGTGGTGCTGAAGCCATCACCTGCAGAGACCACCTTGAAGGGCAGTGTAATCCCCATGCCAAATTAATGCTTAGGTTCCGAGCTGACACTGACAAGAGAGGTGCCAGTCTTGATGGTCTTTTTAATGTAGATACCTGCCACCCACTGAGAGCCAGACTGAGAGACCATCAATTCACGAATTTATTCTATTTATTTTATGACATCACATCAATTAAACTTCTATTCCAAAACCTCGGGTTGTAGCTGCAAATACCTCCAGGCAATACCTTCGCATTTAAATTAAAAAAATACCTCACTTCATCTGGCTACTTCTGTTCCTCCTTTCTCCTCATTGTAGCTCGGAAATGACATACAACAGATGAAGGAGTGTGGAAACAAACTTAAAATCTCCATTTTAGACGTTATCCCAGCAGGTGTGCATGTTTTTCTTGGAATTTATGAGAAGTAGTAAATAGTGCTAACTCAGCTCTGCCCATCTTGCTGCAAACTGTGGCCAGCTTATAAACACCATCCCATTGCCACTGGTGGCAGTGGACATGACTATCAGAATCCACTATGGCAGACTCTAAAGATCTAACACGTTCTAGTATTTCCTCCCATTAATGCTTTAAAATTGTCATAAAACCTTTTTTTTTATTTTATCTGTTTGAATTAGCAATCAGCAGAGAAAATCTCATGGCAAAGAAGTGGTTTGGGCCCCTTTCTGTTCAGATGCGAATCACTTGGCCCAAATAAGCAGCCTGTCACTACTGAATTTCATTACTCATTTCCTGTCATTAAATTAGACGAGATTAATAAATAGAAACTGAGAGGCAGTTGGACAAATTCATCTCTCCAGTGAAACTCCTCCCCAAACAAAACTGTGAAGGGAGCCTAGTCATTCACTGTATGTACTATGGGGTGTTTCTTGTTCCTTGTAGATGCTCAGGTATAGTGGGATTGTTTTTCCTCATTTGTTTTGATGGGGTTTTTTAACCCCATTTGTCCCAGACAGACAACTCAGGCATACACCTGATGGAAAGTACTGCTAGATACCAGTCAGGTTTTGAAACAAATGGGAAGAGAATCCAGTCAAACAGCAGAAGTGAGACTGGTTGATGACATTTCAATGAGATATGATAGTCACACTGTCCTAATGAGGCCAGAGAGAAGAAGATGCTCCCAAAGAGAAGCACCAAGCAGCCTACACAGCCTTCAAAGCTGTTTTCTCTGCAAAAGTATCCTATTCCACATGTCCCACTAGTGCCCATTCTTCTGAGGTGCTGCCCTGAAACTGTCCCCACATCACAGTCTCCCCAGATTCCTCCATGAGATTAGACTGGTTGAGCAAAGTGAGTATGTGAGAAAAGCTGAAAGAGAAATTAAAGTCAGGCTGCAGTTGATACTTTGCCCTGAATCTGATCCTGTAGTGCCTGGGCATGGTGAGACAGATGAGACTGTTATTGTAGTGGGAGCTGGCACCAGCCCCTGTATGTAAGTTGCTTAATGCTTTCCATCCTAAGATTATTTCAATCAATTTTTGAATAATGTTAACACCTCTATTGTTTGTCTTTGAAATCTGGCAGAAGAGGGGGTTGCCTGAGGGCCAATGTCATGCCTTTCACTGGTACTGTTAATAAATTCAGATTTGAACAAGTAACAGATGCGTTGAAAATCACAAATTTTTAACTGTATTTTTCAGAACCCAGAGTTATATTGGCAGCTAACAAACACCCGCAGAGGTTTGATATGTCTGCCTTCATGCTACACCCTGAACATTTCCTTCAATGGCTGTGCCTTGTGCTGGTATAGACAAAATGCCTCTGCTAGTCCACCAAGAGGACTCAGTGTAATAGGCACAGAATTACAACAGCCAGTGTGGAGTCGTGGGATGAAAGATCCAGAATGTGGGAGTAGTCAACAAAGAGAGAAGAATTAAATGAAAAGAAGAGGAAGGGTTGTGGGCAAATATGTAATGAAGATACCACTTAAAAGTAAAATTAACTCTAAGAAATAAAACTCACTATATAACTCCTTCAAATGTCCAGTTCACACAGGGAATGATGTTTTTTTAATGAACTGAACAGCCTCTTGCTGTTTGATGACACTTGTTTGAAAATTGCTTGCACTGTTATGCCTGGAGGTCAAATTTTATCATGGAGAATGATAAAGAACTGTTGGAGTAGAGCTCTTTTGTTACACTGATTAATTAAATGTCTGCAACTAATGTGAAATTACCTACATGTAGCCAATGATAGTAGGCTGTTGTTTTACTTTCCGTCTGAAGGTAAAGAAACAACAAATCTTCAATTGGCTTTTGTAAAGCTATGTATTGCAGACCTTAATGGTTGGAAAACATCTATATTTTGCCACAGGAGTCCTGTGTTGAGCTGGAAAACAAGATAGCTCCTAGTGCCCCTGAAGATGTGGCAACTTGAACCTAATACACCAAATTAATTTGGACATAATACACCAAATGTTGAAGAAAAAAAGAAAAGAAGAAGGGCAGGGCAGGGCAGGGCAGGGCAGGGCGGGGCGGGGAAGGGAAGGGAAGGGCGGGGAAGGGAAGGGAAGGGAAGGGAAGGGAAGGGAAGGGAAGGGAAGGGAAGGGAAGGGAAGGGAAGGGAAAAGACAGCATTTCTCCTTAGGTCATGAATGTGGTCATAGTTACCTTCATTGGTTTACATTTTTGTGCTTAAAGTAGACCATCAAAACAGCAACAGAGAGAGAGAGAAAGGAAGAGAGCAGCACAAGGTAACTGGAAAGCAGTGAACTGTGGAGAGGTCCCATTGCTGATGGAAGGTGGAGGCAATGGCAAATCCACAAGGTGTCATGAACAATGCCTAAGAAAAGCCTAGGCTTACGAAAATAGGAAGCAGGGTTGAAATCTGGTCTGCTCTGAATTAGGCAGAACTGCTGCTTTTAGCTCAAACAGCCATGTAGCTGAACATCCCTGCACAGCCCTGGCGATTCACATTCACCTTCAGTCTGCATGCAGTTTTCTATCCTTTGTCTCCCCAACATCTGAACAAGCGCTGTGGTTGTGCTCAGAGCGCTCCCAGGCCCAGCACTCTGGCAGGTAGAGCTGGTCTGCTACTGTCTTCAAAACTCGGGAGCTCCAGGGCTTCAACTGCGTGGTGCCGACTGCAGAGTCAGTTATGGAGTTGCTGTAACAGAAGTTATAATAATTGAGTGCTACATCTGGCTCAGCTGAGGTCTCTAGGTATGATGATAGCCTGCAGGAAGGCTTTGCAGTTGTTCAGCAGGGGCTGAACACAAAACACTCCAACAAGGCAGAAGTAGCAGTGGCCTGCTTTGGCAGGGGAGAGGAAAACACTATTCCTGTGGTTTCCATGTCATTTCTACACCCATTTTTATAAATATTCTCTAACTCAGTGTGATCCATCAGCACAGATTCAAAGGCCATCTTGTCAGGACTTCTGAACTTGCAGAGTTTATCTAACAAAAGGGAGGAATTCTGCAAATAAGGGCCTGGAAATTAAGAATTCCTATTCTGGCTGAGATTTAGGATTACCTCTGAGATTACTGTTTACTCATTTCCCAGCAATGCTTATAGATTAATTATTTCAAGACAACATTCCAAACTTTTTTCACAAGAGGCCCTGTTAATGTGACCTTCCTTAACTACTCTTTTGGTCAGCATACCCCAAATAAAGGCTGCACTAATATTTGAGGAGGCACAGGAAAGCTCTTTTGATATCTAAAATCCCATAGTTCTTATAAGAGACTAGGAGAAGATAATATTCATGTCCCACTCAAACGTCTCTTGAAGCACTGGATTTTAATTCTGCTGCAGATTTTGATGGGCGTTAGGTTCTCTTACTGTGCGTATTTTCATGAAACATTATTGAGTACTGACATACGGTATTGAAATGCTTTTCAATACCATCCCATTTTCATAACTAATAAATTTATAGTATCTAGAGGGTATATAGGACCATCAAAGCTAATGGAAGCCATTCTTTGGACTTTAATGCAAACTCACGTTACAATCTCCAAGTTATATTTTATGTCTGCGCAGTATTTTGGAAGTTCCTAGAAAGAAGGTGTTCCAGAAAGAGGAAAAATCACTGCAAGGTGTAGCTGTTCCACCAGGATAAATTATTCTTCAAGAATAGAATGTATTATGTAATTCTTATAAATTGTGTACAAGACTTCAAAAAAATCAACAAAACCCAATTTGTTAAAATACATGTTAATCACAGTTTCACAACCTAACAAAACAGCAACTTATATGATTTTCAGTTAATACTTTCCATTTAAAAGTCAGAGCATAACAGGAGAACTGAATCAGTTATGACACGGAAATAATGCTCAGATAAATATATTTAACTTAAAGGAAAGGCTTGTTCATCTCTGCATTAAACGTGGAATGATTAATACCTCAGCTATTGTTTTAATACCTAAAGGGCAACAACTACTATTTTCCCACTGAACTCCAGCACTGACTCAGCGTGCGGTTGTATGAGGTGTTCGTCTTTGGATGTGTCAACTGAAAAGAGAGACTCCTGCAACTGCAGCTCAGCTCTGAAGTCAGAGCAAATGGAAAGAGGCACGTAGTCAGGACCTGACGATGCTGGCATAAATATTTTTTTTTTCTGTCAGTCTGCTTT